AAAACTACGATTATGCCACTATATCACAACTTTATTGAAAAGTTCGGTAAAATATAAGGAACAAATTTTCTCCGTGTAGAGACTGAAAGAACTTTAATAATAATCGTAGGACGAGAAAAAATGTTGGCATGTTAAAAAAGTATTTCATAGCATGCACATTTCTGCACGTAACAACCATCATTTATCACCGCCAACATTGTTCATGAATAATAAATAATTATATGCATTCACATTTATAATTTACAGTTTACGATCATCATTATTCGCCGACACCATCAGTCTTCTAAACGATCATTACAATCATTGTTATTTTAATTATTACTATTATTCAACTATTCTACACAACAAGTTTCCTAATCCAGATTTTTATCTTTACCCGTCACAACTTATTTCTCAATTCAATACTAGAGCTTTTGCAATCAACATTCATTTTATTTTTCAACATAAATAATTTTCATTAAATGTTTAAAACTCCATTGATTAAGTAATTTTTGAAAAATTTTTTATTTAATATTAAATTGGCTTCTGTTTCAAAAAGTTGATGAATTTCAACAATAAATTGCTCATTAAGTAGCTATATAAAAGCTGTAATAAACTACGTAATATTAATAGTCTTATTACTTTAATTATTCCGATTTATAAATAGCGTTCATAATTCATAATCGCCGTCGGAGAGAGAAAAGATGTGGAGTAGCCTAATAATTGATTCGGTAATACTGAGTCATCCTATCAGACCCCTATAACTCATTAATCATCTTACGCTTAATAACATTACTTTGGATCTTGATCAATTTATCATTACCCACCCAACCATAAGAAAAACTTTGTGATTTTAGATATCTGTATAAATTTATCATTTCTCGGCTTGTTTCAAGTAAAAGGTTTTCATGTACGATTCTACTAATTATTTCAAAAATTGCTCTAACCATAAATCAAAAATACTCAAGCGGCAACTTATGAAATCTTAACGAAAGTTTGAAATACTACTAACAATCGACAAAAACGGAAGTACGAAATGAGTTTAACTTTAGTCAGGATTATTTTTTTCAACAAGGAGTATTAATTTTGACGGTAAAAAATATACTGATGCTCGATATTCCACATTGAGGTATATCAAAATTTAAACACCGCACGTTTACATAAATGAATATTCACAAGTGTACAGGATATAAACGACTAATTGAAGCGTATTCACTAATTAGGCTTTCACGGATGGATGGTTCTCTCTTCATAAAAAGGGGCACTTCTGATAACTTTGATGTACTCATCAAGCCACTTTAGAGATTTTTTTTCTTTATCATTATTATCCGCTTTGCAAGCTGCATACTCACGTATGCAAGCTGCATCAGAAATATTCTCAGAGCATTAAAAAAATTGATTGAGGATCCACCCATTTATGGTAAGGTAATAAGCGTGCATCTATTGAAGTTTCCTCAATTAGTTCAGGACTGGTACAAAGTTTGTTACTTTCGGAGAAAGCGTGTAATTTAAAGTGCATCTGTTTAAATCCGGTCATCAAGGCAATTAAGTAAAAAATCTCTGCACACCTGTCTTTTTTTAAATAATATTTAATCTGGCTGAATCTGCCACTCGTCATTTTTAATAATACACCTGAAGCCGTAACTTTTACGATATTAATCAAACAAGAAGAAATATATGCTAAAGAAATAAGACGATTGCACAATGATTATAATTTGAATTTTTAATTAAATTCTGACCGTCTGAATGGTATAAATTAATTTTCTGGACCAAAATGGACATTCATATTATGCATGTACCTGAAAGCTTGCAAGAACAGGGCGTATCTAATGGAGGGAGAGCGAGAATGGACTCTATACACTTACGGGCATGGAGAGAGATAGTGGGCCACTTAATTATCCGCGAGGCCAATTAGGCGGCCGCTAATGGAGTCCTGCGGTGAGATATGGGGTGCGGGTGCAGGGCGTCCAGTCCTCATCGCGCCTCATTTACTATCCATCAGCGCCACACGCTCTTGCTAGCCTGTTAGCTCCCTCCTACTGCCAACAGTGATTTATTGCACTTCAACAATATGCATAATTTTGTTCTAAAACCATTCACTTCGTTTTAAACAAATTAACTCATTTATTCATCAAGTCATTTTATCAAATCATTCATGTTTTCATTCAATTTTTATTCATTTGACATTTCTTGAAAATTAAAAGCATTAAAAACCTTTAGTGCTTTACAAAAGGTCTTTCTACATTGTCTAATCTTGGGATTTTTACAAATTATCTGACTACCAATCTTGAAATTGGTAATCAAATTGACGTCATTTATGCCGATTTATGCTATACCTATATTGTACAAATCTCACCTCATCATTCTCACATTTACGAGCAGTTTTTCCAAGAATTAAAAAGAGCTGTGATTACAATACCGTCCACGAGTATCAGGACAATTACACGCGACTCTATGAAAAAACATGCTATCACTTTTTCAATCATATCTCGTAAATAAAAGGAGATACGAAAACAACTTAAAACGGTTAAAAAGCTGATTAAATTTTGCGTAAAACAAGCCGTCTTTGAAGTCATTTCGTTAACTATTTTTGGAGCTGTAGAGTGAGAAAGAAATAAAAAAAATTATCAAATTTTCTTATTTTTGTCTCTTGACTTCAACTTTTCAAAAATATAGAAAAATTTAAATAAAATTTTTCTCAAAACACAGAAATCTTCGTTACAATTTCAGCTTTAAAAGCTTTTTCGTACAATTTTCGGACTAATCCGTATACTAATCTGTCCGTATTTAATCCGGAATTAGTCAGAAATTTTTACCAGAGTTGGTTTCACCAATGAATCCGCAGCTAATCCAAACTCAATACGGTTTGTGTATAACCAGTGAATCCGGAATTAGTCCGATCTAGTCCGAAGTTAGTCTGAAAAAACGCAACTTGCAAATGTGATATTAGTCCGAGTAAGAAGATTAATTCCGGAATTAATCTGGCCATGGTCAGGTTTTTGTCATACGAAATTATAATTATAGTTACAATCGGGCCGCAGAACTGTACGGTACCCCAGAAATAACCCCTCCACTTGATTTCAAACTGTACGCTGACGAACTCATCCCCACTATTTAATTTTCAGGACTGTACACTTATATATTTAAGGAGCAAGTTTTCAGAAGTTAATAAATATATTTTTTTTTAAATCGCGATAAACATAAATTTAAGAATTTAAATATCTCACAAATCGTTATGTCCCTGTTAAATTTAAAAAAAAAATTATTAACAGCGAATTTTCAATTTAAAAACTTTTTGACATAACCAAGTTGACTTTTAATTTTTATGTTTGTTATTAGAACAAATTACCAAAACCTTAAAGTTACTTTATTATGTGAAAGTTCAATTAAAAACAGAACGTATTAAATAAAAACATTGTTACAAATATTAAATATTACAAATTTTTTATTTTGAAATTAACTGAGTGGTTATGTCAGGAAAGTCATTTATTTCGATTTCTCGAAATAATAAGAAAATAGGAATTTATCAAGTTTTGAAAACTTGTTGCTCCTCATTTATCGTCTGGGACTATAATATGCATAATTTTAGATTTAAAATTAATTAAAATCATAAAAATATATACTATTTTTAAAATTATAAATGTTAGAAGAATCAACATTTTTTAACCAAATAATGACAAATAAAAACAATAATGAATGATTTAAGTAACATAACCTAAAATTTAACAAATGTTTCTAATGAAACTTTAATCGTTTTAAATATTCAAAATTAAATTCTTCACCTTTCCAACAAGAAGAATTTAAAATTTAATTTGTTTTTTTAAATTACGAAATTATGACATTGGAATAACTTTTGATTTGACTGACCGTCAGATTCTTCCTTAAGGGGATTTGAACCTTGATGACGTCACAGTTTGTGCAAAGCATTAGTTTTAAATCTGTGACGTCATCATGGTTCAAATGCCCTTAAAAGGCAACATTTTCAAATATACGGCACTGAATTTAGTAGCGCCACCGTACACTGTGGAGCACTTAAAAACTAAAGCCAGCGTACACTTCGGCGACAGCGTACAGTTTAAAAGCGTACAGTTCGGAGGCCCGACTGTATATGTTTATTATTGTATTACTTCCTCATAGAGGAAGTATTGTAATACCAAAATTTTTCAAGTTCGATTTTTTGACATATCTTTATGTTCAAAAATGATATTTTTAAAAACTGTCATTCCGTATGTGTGTGTGTGTGTAAACATCACATTTTCAAAAATATCTCGAAATCATAAAGAGCTTTTGAGTTAAATTTTTTTTCAAATTGTAGATCTTACCTTCGGACATAAAGTGAGCGTACTTTGTGAAAGATTAATAAAGTTTAACTAAATTTTTTTTTACCCAAAATTCAATCACTTTTACTATATTTATAAGAAGATATACATATATTTCTATTACTTTTATGGGGCGCATGATTATTATCCTCAAATTTAAATTTCCTAATGTTCAAAACATCGAAATTCTTATCATCGAAACATCATTTCGCATAATTTTCAGTTTTCGAAATTTCATTCAACATAATTTTTAATTTATCGATTTATTCTTTATCCTATTATTTAAATAGTCGAATTGTTTTTTAATATATAATTTTTAATATGTCGAAAATTTTTTGACATACATTTTGTTTTTCCGAATGACTATTTGTCATAATTATTAATCCTCCGAATTGCCATTTGACATAATTTTCAAACCTTCGAAATATTATAATACATAACTTTCATTTATCGAAATTTTATTTGTCATAATGTTCATTTACTCGAATTATCAAGTGCACTGTAAAAAAGACCAATGTTGAATTACAATCGGGTCGTTAATTTTAAATTTTCCAGTTTGTAATTTTACTACGGTACACGTAATAATTTAACACCCATATAGTATTTTCACAATTAAAAAGTAAAATTATTACGCTTATCGTTGTAAATGTGTCACGCGTTAGTAAATGTACATCCCGAATGTTTAATTTACTGACAGTATGTAGAATTATGTAGCTGTCTGTAAGTATACATTCGAATATGATATTTTTTGCCCGAATGTTTTTCTACACTGCGTGACGATGAAGTGGCATATAAGAAACTATGCGCATAGGCAAACGTTAATATTTTAATTTTAATTTATTAAAATTTCGACAATTTTAAGAATTTAAAGATTAAAGGAAATTTGTAAAGGTAAGTTCAAATTCTTAACATTTTTCATTTCTTAAATTTGAAAGATTTCTTTTTAATTTTTCATATATATCAAAGTTAATAAGGTAATGTCTTTTAACCTAAAAAGAGACACGTTTTTAATGATTTTTTATACTTAAAAAATTTTATTCAACTGTGTGAATTTTCTGTATGAAAATAATTTTCAAACATAAAAAAATTTTTCAGAATATCTTCATGGACTCTATTGCTTAAGCAGCTCGTATTTTTTTAAAATTAAAGTGGAAAAAGTATTTGTTTTTCCTGTTCTGTTGGGGAATTCGTTAACTTTGTACAAATGACAAAAAAGCTACAAATGTGATTTGTATATTATAAATATTTAATATATTTATTTATTTCTTACATTTTTCCTTTATTTCCTTTTTATAATTTAACCTTTATGTAATACAAAATAAATATAAAAAAGAATAATTTTAAAATGCAGCGAAATTATTATGTAAAATTACCGACGAGTGGTCGATTTACAATTTGATGCGAAATCACATAAGAGAGGTTATGTTACGAACGGTAAGTAAGTTAACATTTGGGCTGTAATAGTACTACGTCATACGTGAAGCGAAAAGTTTCCAACGTTACACGTTGTAAATTTACATTGGGCTTTTTTACAGTGATATAGGCACGTAGGGAGGCACCAAGAAGGCTAGAGACAGGAGGTGAAACTTCGGTAGTGGGGATGAGTCAAAAGCCTTTCATTAACCAGGCGTTTTTCGTTTCGAAAAGTCGCCGGCGCGGTGCTTCTGCACATCACTCACACATTCAAATTCTTGTATACCATATGTTTTACATATGTGTATGATATGATTTTAATTTGAGGTTAACTTTAAAGTGCAATCAGTGCAATCGAGACACAATTGACAATGTGTGTCATAACGGATATATAGAATTAATGTGAGTGATTATTAAATTAAGTGTTATTCAAATAGTTAAAAATTCCGAAAACGTGCTGTGTGAAAAGTTGTAACAAGAAGAAAGATAAACCTACACAACTACACAACACTATGACTATTACTTTCTGTTAACTTTTAATACACTTCATGCTACAGTTTACACATTTTTTTGTTTTTAAAACGTTTTTTTAATAACTAAAAGATGTTTGAAAATATAAACACTTATATTTCATATTGTATTTGTATAGAATATATTTTCCTGTGTTTACGTGTGTAGCTGCGCAGAAGTCCGTGTGGTCTATTGCGGCGAAAACTTTTTTTGAAAGTAAACGCCTGACTATACATCAGCTGAGCGACTCAGCATTGCCATACCCCCACTACCGAAGTTTTACCTCCTGTCTCTAGTCTTCTTGGGAGGCACGCATCAAGGAACTTAAGGCCTTTCTCCAATAGGTTTTAAAAAGTGTGCGAATGACTGCGTTGCGTTGATTTTAGCATGTGTTGCTATAGCAACCGACGCAGACGCAGCCCTTCGCACACTTTTTAAAACCTATTGGAGAAAGGCCTTTAAGACCTTTCTTCAATAGGTTTTAAAAAGTGTGCGAATGACTGCGTCTGCGTCGGTTGCTATAGCAACACATGCTAAAATCAACGCAACGCAGTCAGGGTGGAGTCCCATGACAGCGTTTTGCGTTGCGTCGTAATGGGAGAAAAAAAGACGCAAATATACGTTTGCTGCATTCTCTTTCATTACAACGCAACGCAAAACGCTGTCATGGGACTGCGGCCTCATTCGCACACTTTTTAAAACCTATTGGAGAAAGGCCTTTACGAACAGGCCGGTTCCTCTCTGCGTGCCGCACAACACGAGTGAGTGCCGCATGGTGGCGCGTAGAAGCTTCCGTATTACCGATGCTTATTCTTTTCGATACTTTTCGATTTACACTTTCGAGTGCATTCGATTCTTTTAGCCCATGTCTTTTTTTAGAAAGGATTTTTTGGAATTAATGCCAATTACACAGCCCCACAAAAAAAAGTGTCGTGCGCGGCAGACCAGACTAGTCATTTCCTATGTATTTTGACGTGCTGAACACGAATCCGAAGTCCGTTTTGCTCCATCACGTCAGGATTTTTTTCTAACCTCAAAAAATCTGTCGGATTTTGAGAGGTACCGTAAACCGGGGCTACAAGGAACACCGGGGCTATAAGGAACAAAACTCTGTGTTCGGGTGGAGTTGAAGTTATCGGGGCCGTGTATGAATAAATTGTGTTACTTGCTTTTGAAAAATTGTTGCTGGGGTAACTGCCAATACTACTCAATGCAATAATTGCGACTATTAATAATTTTGTGAACAGTAGTAGCTTGTAAGTGAGTAATTGTGTTTTAGTGAAATTTCAAACTTGGGAAACATTTGATTGCCGAGGTAAGTTGTTCCTATTTTAACTTCTCAAAGTAATTTTTTTTTATTAAAGGGATTTATTATGGTAAGTTTTATTGAGTTCACTAAGTAATAAATACGTTTATTTTGTATTTACAGTAAGATTTACGAGAAAAAAACCAAAATTCACAAACGGCGGGTATATAAAGAACACAATTATTTCTTCCTAATTGTTAAAGTGTGTTGTTAAAACGTAAGTTTTTCGTAATTTCGTTTGTTTTTTATCACCTAATTTGGTTTTTAGTGTTCAAAGATGGTTCGAAATTGTAAAAGAGTGTTGGTACCGACAAGTCACAAAAAACGACCAGTTATCATCATCGACCTCAACTGATGATACCAGCAACGTTTAGTTTTGTTTTTACATTTGTTTTATATTCTGTGTTTACTTTCGATCAATAAAAAATAATTTCTTTAACTTTAAATACGTTTTCCAATAGTTTTACCGCCTTGTTCCTTATAGCCCCATTTTGTAATTTCGAAAAAATGCGTCTTTTTCGTATTTTTTGCTTAAAATTCCAGCTTTGATCAAAACAATACTTTAAACCTTCAAAGTGCTCGCCAAGATCAAGAAAAGAAAAAAAATTAAGGCAATATTTCAATAAACAAAAAAGTTGCAAGACTTTAAAGCTGAAATCTGTTCCTTGTAGCCCCAGATTACGGTAGGCTATATTTTCTTAAATTAATGGATTTACTTCAAACTTGGTAACTAGGGGTTTTTTGGGTCGCTGATGACAAATTTGAAGTTAGATTTTCAAAATTCAAAATGGCGGCTCCAATATGGCGGACGAATTTTTAAAAAGTTAATGGATTTTCTTCAAACTTGGTAACTAGGGGTTTTTTGGGTCGCTGATGACGAATTTGAAGTTAGATTTTCAAAATTCAAAATGGCGGATCCAATATGTCGGACAAATTTTTTAAAAATTGATAGATTTGCTTCAAACTTGGTATCTAGGGGTTTTTTGGGTCGCTGATTACGAATTTGAAGTTAGATTTTCAAAATTTAAAATGTTGGCTCCAATATGGGGGACGAATTTTTTAACTATTGATGGATTTACTTCGAAGTTGGTATCTAGGGGTTTTTTGGGTCACTGATTACGAATCTATAGTCAGACTTTCACATTTTGAACCCCCTGCACGGAAAAAATGTCCGTGCACCGCTTGTCTCACTTCCAGTGCAGTTGATGCAGATGTTGTCCGATGGAAGTGCGTTTGCTGTCTCTAAAAAGGGCCGTATATGATCCATTTTCAAAGTGTAAGATTTGTACTGTAATTAAGGACCATTGGTGCACATATAAAGATAAACAGTGCACAGAAATTTTTTCCGTGTGGCTGCTCCGAAAGATTTTTTGGTAGAGTGTTGTGTAGCGGGAACTGTAATTTTTTGTTTTGTAATGAACTACTCTCAAGAACTGACAGTTAAGTCTCATTGCATCATAGAGATCAATTCGGCAAATGCACAAGACTTTTTTCATTGAGGTAATAATGTGACAATAAGATGTAAAAGTTAAATAATAAATTTTTAAGCAACGAGATAAAAAGGAACTTTAATATCCTCTATCCTTCACTATCTTATTCCTTAAAAATACATTCTTTACCTTCTACGCTTTGCACTTTTATTGTGTTTCAGCACAATACTAATCCTGCTGCTTCGATAAATGTAGTAGGCGATGACAACTGCCCCGAAAGGGGATGTGTAGAATGATTCGCTCCCTGTTTATCGAAGTAACGAAGCCAGCGTAGGCGCGCTGCCCTGCAGGGGGACGTTAGGGTGTGAGGATGATGCCGTAGTGTGTCCGACGACGAGTTGACTTTGTCCTCGTCAAAGTCGGAAAGCTCTCATACTTAGGCCTGGGGAGGTATGAGGGTTATCACCCCTAGGACGGCGGACTCACCTGCGATCGGGCCAGGATCCCTAACAGGTTTTCACATAAATCATGGCTTCTCAAAATCAAAACAATAATAAAACTCCAAAGGCTTCAAAACTTAATTTTGCAGTAACAACGTCGGAACACTTATGCGACAGCAATGCAGATGCATTTTGTTACATATGTGGACAATTCGATGTCCCCAAAAATCGTAAATCAATAAATGAAAATATCAAACAGATCTACAAAGATTATTTTGATCTTGAGATAACCAATCAGGATAAAAATTTTGTTCCACACAAAATTTGCAGTTCCTGTTACACAATGTTAACTCGTTGGAATCATAAAAAAGAGGATAAACTAAAGTTTATAAAGCCAACTTTGTGGGAAAAACCATTAAATCAAAAAGATTGTTATTTTTGCAACACCAATGTGCAAGGATATAATAACAAAAATAAAAAGAACATATTGTATGCTAATGTCCCCACTGTAAAAAAACCAGAAATTTCATGCAATCCACCTTCTTCTCCCAAAACCTTGGAAATTGACAGTTCAACTGAAGATGTTCTAGATTTTGAAAATAAAGACATGAGAACCGATGATGAGGACGACTATTACCTTCCGTATCATGAACAGGAGAAAAAGATTCGACAAACGTTTAACCAAGAAGAACTTAGCAATCTCATTAGAGATTTAAAATTGCCGAAGGATTGTGCAGAACACCTAGCATCAGTGTTGAAGAAGAAAAACTTGTTATCAAAAGGCACAACAGCTAGCTTTTATCGAGACAGAGAAAAAGAATTCCGACAATATTTTACAAAAGATGAAAATCCGTCGTTGGTATATTGCTCAGATGTTGTCGGACTCATGAATAAATTAAAAGCAAATATATACAAAGATGAAAATTGGAGACTATTTATTGACTCTTCGAAAAGAAGTTTAAAAGTAGTACTACTACATAATACTAATATTTATGCTCCAATTCCTATAGCGCATTCAACGGAAATGAAAGAAAACTATGAATATATGAAACTAGTTTTGGATAAAATTAGATACCGAGAACACAACTGGCAAATTTGTGGAGATTTTAAGATTTTAAGCATACTACTTGGACAACAATCAGGTTTTACAAAAACACCATGTTTCCTGTG